AGAAAATAATGATAACATTAAAAATTCTATGTTTTTATCAATTTGAGATATTTATTCAATATATTGAATATTCAATATTGAATATATTATATATTCAATATTTAATCTGAGTCTATCTAGAATGAATAGATTTAAAGAATCTAGTATAATCTACAATTGTATCTTTTGTTTTCTCACTGTCATCTTTATAATCTTGTTCTAAAAGTATACACAAAAACTTAATTAGACTCTATGTAGTATTATGATTTCCAGATTTATCTAACCTAATATTTTTCAGAGTTTACAGTACGCCTATATTCAACACATGTCATATTTCCCTCATTCTATAAGAAAGTGAGATTTTCCATCTTTCATGATGGCTAACAACCAGTGTAGCATAGGAAGAGAGAGGTCCCTGTAGACACAGGAGATAGGTTCTAGGGCAGGGATCCCTTGGTTAGCTCCCTACAAGGTTGACAAGTAATGTTCTTTCGGACTGGGGACCAAAAGACATCTTGATAGGTAGTAAGAGTCATGAAAATATACCAAATACTTAGTGTTGTGATATTCAAATTAAAAATTAGAAACTTATTTACTCATAGTTAATGTTCAGAAGGAATCTGATTTCTCAGAATAAACTTCTTGAATCTCTTTGAATACGTAATTTACTTGAAATAAAGTAACAGTATTATTTCTAAAACAGAGTTTGCATAAAATGTTTTTTTCAGCTGTTACACGTTCACATGTTACTTCTGGGAAAAGGAGCATTTGTAAACTATGTGTAATTTATGTTGTATACCTACTCAAAACTGTGATAAGGCATATGGAATCTCAGTTTCTTAAGCCATGCTTTTTTGACCCTAGAGTTTTAAAAGATCTGGCAATAATTCAGATGAAAGCAAATATAAAAGTTTGGCAGATGTGTCTCCAGATAGAAAGAGAGACTGAAGTATAGACACCTGACATAAGAAAATCTTTTAGTTTTCAAAAACCCACGTCCAAATGAGACATGAGACAATAAAATATCATCCACAAAGTTCATTCAGGTTTGGCTTAAAAGAAGAGCATATTTTCAGGTCTCCTAACCAGGAAAAAAATAATTGCAACTGTGTTGAAACTAATATTTAATTATTTGTTATTTTATTCATTTTTACATGGACATCATAAAGTCTATAACTTTCAAGTCTGTATTGTATACACTATAGTCTTACTATTTTATTTTGTTCTTAATGGTTAAAACTTCAGAGGTCACTCAGATTACCTCACAATGATAATGGAAAATTTAAATAAAACATGCAAAATAATGAAATTACTTTATACTATGTAAATAACACTTTTGGAAATATAAAGTATTAGTTAAACAGTTTTCTCTTTAAAAGATTTCAGTTTTATACAAAATGAGTATTATGATATCCCCAAATGTTTTTTACAGTAGAAAACGTTCTTGAAAAATAATTACATGTATTAAATATTTCTATTTCTATATTAAATATACCTATCTTTACCTATATATTTATATAGTTGTAGAAATATTTCCATAAAAGAAGTAGGCTTTCTTTAATCATATCATATTGCCCTGAGCAGTGCAATTAACCAGAGGACCTAGTTCAAATGTCAAAATAGTGAATTTTCACTTTCGATATTCTGCACACAATTTTGGGAATAAAAAGCTACTTAAATGAAACCCGGGTCATCATTAATATGAATACATCCTTTTAGTGCCATTTTGAATTCCTACATTCAAGCAATTAACTCAGAAATTTATGTATGGGAAGTTCTCAAGTATATACATTTATTACCTGATTCAAATCAAAAAGTCAAATAACCCAAAGAGGTAGAGTGGATTAAAATGGTCCCTGAGGATCAATTAACACCTATGAATGTTTAGTAAGCAGTCACTTAATTGCTACTGAACTAAACTATACACACGGTAATGAAGATTAATAGACTTTGAATAGGTTACATTTATTTGTTTTAAGAAGTAGAAGTTCTTGATATTATACATTGATATTATACATGAGCTCACTTAATATTAGTGCTATATGGTATTGTTTCATTCATTTTCAGAAAGTGTCATTAAAGAACTACCTTAATTTCCACATCCACAACCACTCATTTTAAATAATATTTTCTAGTAATGTACATAGAAATGTTTCACTAAAATAGAACAAAGATGAACAAAAAAAATCAAAAATACAGGAGACTTTAAGGCCTGAACTTTCTAATTGGATAATACTTAGCCATTCAAATGCTTTTGTTGAGTATTATTATGTAGAAGCAACTTACTAGACATTGTAGAAGTACTGTCAAGATTTAGGAGGATCACAATTTACTTTACCTGGGGTAAACACACATCTAATTGAGTGTGTTTAGAAAATGATTGGTAAAAGAGAAAATTTTCCACCAAGAAAATGCTTGGATCCACATCCAATTTTGTTTATTGGTTAAATGCTTGAGTTGTAGGAACTTTCAGTTCCTACAGTTTCATATTTAACATTCATGTTGAATTTAATTATGTGAAGAGTTTTATATATGTGTATAGCAGTAAATGTTTGAGCATCCTCTGGATTTTCAGGATCCTGATTAATCTTTTTTGATAAGATTTTGTCAGGAAACTATGGCAATTAGGGTCATTTGAAAGACCCTAAGTGACTGAAATGACAGTTCAATTTAATTAAACAACAGGATTAGAAAAATTGAATTGATTTTGTCTTTAAAGGAAAGTGTAATGTGATTGTTAGAATACTTAAAAAGTGAAATTTATTATGTCTATGTCCTGTTCCTTATAATCTTGGTTATCTTAAATCATAATTTAATTGACTCAGAAGTAGATTACAAATTATAACTGGCTAAAATATCATCCTTTGTTAGCTCTTTCCGCCAGCTGCAAGGAACCTAATTCTTCCATATTTGCTACTACTTGGCATTAGACTTAATGTGTTGTAAGTGCTAAGTTAAAATTTTTTAGTTTGAGTAGTGGATAAATAAATGAATGAGTGCAATATCTGACAAGGCATATTTTTTCAAGGAGCTTTCTAACAATATGTAAATGTTAGTCATGCTATCTTAGTGAATTATTTTTCCTTTTCCTTCCTTCCTCCTTCTCTCTCTCTTTCTTTCTCCTTCATTTTCCTTCCTTTCCTCCTTCCTTCCTTTATTACTTCATCTTTCCTTCCTTCCTCCCTTCCATCTCAATAATAGAATATAACACTAAAATTAAAAAATATATATATAATCAATATATAATCACCATCTGTTAAAAATGACTTAATATTTTAATTCATGTTCCTTTATACTAAAACACAATATTACATTTCTTTTGGGTCATAGAAGTTACTGATCTTTGAACAGATAACTTTTAAACTGTATGATAATAATATCAGAATTGCAAAGTAAAAGGGAATACAAAATGGAATTTTAGAATAACAACAAAAATGAATTTTATACTACAGTTTTTAAAGTTATAGGTACTAATTAAGGAAGAAACTATAGACATAACAGACATATCACTTATGCTATATTATATTTATAAAATATAAATATATTTGTATTATACATTTTATATTACTTAAGTTAAATTACATCAATTTAGAAAATCCATGAAGCCTCAATTTCTACAAAAGTCAGTTAATTATATACACTTCATATTTCTATATTACCTCTGATGGAAAGTTTTCTCTGTCCTGCTTGTGATGTGTAATTTCATACACTGTTTTCTTCCCTAAGGGAATTACTTACTTGATTCAGTTCTTGGATAAAAATGATCTGTCACCATTGTTTGCTTTAAAGGGCTTTTTGCTTTTTTTTATTTAAACACTGAATACTGAAAGAAAAAAATCAAGGCACAGGGGATTGCAGTCCAGCTGTTGTGGCATAAATCAATATTTAAAATGCACAATAGTGATTTTTCTTCCTCTAAAGTAGGGATTTTGTGTACTTAATTTCTTGTTTTATTAAAATGTCCAACTTTGTCTAGGAAGGACTTAAAATTTAGCTTCAGTTTCTGTTTAAGTTTACTGCTCAACAATGGAGTAACAGAACAGGAATATAACTGCACTTTAATCTTTGATTTCTGCCTTTCCGTGCCCTACTGGGGGTTGCTGAAGCTTTGGATTTCATAAATTTCTGTGAATTTCATTTCATTAAACAACCATATTCCTTGTTGAGTTAGGGAAACTACTATTTCTCTGACCCCAGTTTAGCTTTAGCAAAGGTGTCTGGGTTCTATTTTAATTACTCCTTAAAGGAAAAGCTGAAAATTTTCTAAGTAGTCATAGCTAGAAAGGGATCATAATCCTCATCATTCTAAATATAAGGAAAAACACATCTTTCCTTCTTCAAACAAGAGATTTTTGCAGAATAGTAGCCTTTGGATATACTCATTTATTGCCTAAATTCTTCCATACATTTTATATCATGATTTATGTACTAGAAGGTTATGCCTTGAAATTTTATTTTATTTTATTTCACTTCTTGGTTTACAGAACAGCTTTCATTCTAAGGCGCCGCACCAAATACACTGATTTTGCAAAACTCGTCCCCTGCGCTAAGATGCCCATCTTCAGATTTCTACTGCGTGCCTCTGGCCCCCAGGGTGAAGCACTGCCTGAGTGCATTAATGGCAGAATCACAATGTAATTGTCAGAATGGTGGCATCATCACACTTTGACGCCAACATCCTTGTTTCTTTCTTCTCACTACAGAGAAACTAAGGCTAAAGGTTAAAGGATGTGGCTTATTAAATAATTCAAGCCATTAACCTGCAACCTGAAAACCGATGGCAGCCTGTTAAGTTTATGCTGCCATGATTCATGTTTGGTGTCTACTGATGCTAAAGCATATTGCCTGTTTGCTTTACTTTTATTGCTACATAGTAATGTAGTGAGGAAAGAGAATGAACAAAGGTGACAGGACCCACGCAAGGGGACAATAAGAGCAGCATACACACTTGCATGAAGAAGATTGAAGCCTTCCCTCCCTCCCTCCATCTCTCCGTATAGGCCCCAGTGCACATCTGCGTCACTGACGCTGGAGGAGGAGGCGCTGAGGCAGAGAGAAAATTGTACTGTGAGGACCTTGACAGCTTCACCGGCGCGGGCTTTTCTTTTTGCCTTCCTATATTTTCTGGAATAGATTTTTTTTTTTCTCTTTTACAAACTGACTAGATAAAACCATCCCTTCTCGCCTTGCAGAAGGCATTTGACTTTCTCAGAGGTACCCGCAAGCTCTCAGAGCATCCTCCGAGAGACCAGTGACAGGAGCGCAGGTGCAACGAGAAGGCGGAGGGGAGGGTGGTGCGCTTCTTCGCGACTTGGGGCTCTTTCTCTCTGCGCTCCCCAGGCACTGAACTCTAAGCTGCAAGGATAGGAGAGCCGACAGCTTCTCCACTGAGGCTCTGCCACCGGTGCTTGCCAGGGAGGTGTATCCAGCAGTCGCTGCCTCCTAAGCTTCGGAGCGCGCAGACCTCTGTCCCTCGCCCATCTCCAGCATCAGGGTCGTCCCTCCCCGCACGGTAACCACGGGGACCCCGCAAGGAGATCGGGGATTCTCAGCCCTCTGCATCCAGCTCCTTCCTCTGCTCCCCGCCGTTGAGCTCACCACGCGCGGGTCCTGCGGACCTGACCGCCGCTGAGCCGCGCAGCTCTGCTGTCCACGCTCCGCTCGTCGCCTGGCAGGGCGCGCAGCCGCCTGGTCCCGTCGGTTCCCAGGGTGCAGAGGGCGCCTCCCTCCCCCCTTCTCCAACCCCGGGCTCCGTTGGCCTCCCCCACCCGCTGATCCGTCTAATTCTGCATCCGCTGAAGCCCCTTTGCCTTCCTTGCGTCAAACATGTCAGGCTCTGGGCGAAAAGATTTTGATGTGAAGCACATCCTGCGACTCCGCTGGAAACTCTTTAGCCACCCGTCGCAGTCCCCCGGCGCTCCGGCCGGGGGCAGCTGCCTGCAAGAAGACGGCAGCAGAAGCTTTGAGCACTGGGGACCAAGCCAGAGCCGCCTGCTCAAAAGCCAAGAGAAGGGCAGCGTGAGCACTTTCTGGAAGAAGCCTTCCTCTTCTTCCTCCTCTTCTTCTTCTGCCTCCCCGTCCTCTTCCTCCTCTTCCTTCAACCCACTGAATGGCACCCTGCTGCCAGTGGCCACGAGGCTGCAGCAAGGGGCGCCCGGGCAGGGCACCCACCAGCCGGCCAGGACTCTCTTCTACGTGGAGTCCCTAGAAGAGGAGGAGGTGCCAGGCATGGACTTTCCTGGACCACACGAAAAAGGGCTTGTCTTGCAAGAGCTCAAAGTGGAACCGGCCAACTCGAGCCAGGCAACAGGTGAAGGATGTGGACACAGGTACAGTAAGTCCCCATGGGACATCCAAGCATTCCTCAATTTCCACTCGTTTCCCCCCACCCCGTGCGCTCTGGGTAGTTACTAAGTCTAAAATGTTTCAAGTTGAAAATTTTGGTTAAGAGATGCCAACCCGGTTTTTATTACTCAAGTTGCAACCTCATTAAAAGTTTCCTCCTTAGTTTCTATTGGCTAATGCATATTGCTTTTCTTTCCCCAAGTTTTCGGAGCTTAAGCACATATTGAATATATATGCATTTTGGTAACTCTCCATGTAGAGTGGTTCTCATATTTCTGAGGTTGTAGTATTCTTCTGTCATCTTCTGTCATTAAATTACATACATCAGTCTCCTAGTTATTTGATATGAGGAGGAACTTCCTTTAAACACCATTCAAATGCATCTCATATACTGGCCTAGAAACTGACTTGGCAAGTTACCTAGGATCCCTGTGGCTTGAATCTATATTCCAGTAGTAATGAGGTGGACAGTAGGCCACCAGACAGCAAGATTATCTTCTCTCTTTATTTTCCCCATGAAAGACAGTGTTACTATTCTCTATCCTAACTTCCCTTTTTATCCTACGTCATGAACAACTTTGCTTTGTTTAAAGTCTTAGAATTAAACTCTTGCTAATGCCCTTTGCACTTTTCTGTCCTGATTCGTTGTCTCGGTATGGAACTGTGTATTCTTAGTGAGCAGGTCAACAATTATTTCTTGTTCATATCTAATATTACACTTCTTTGAGTACAGTTCTTCTACTTTCAAGACTTATAGAAAACCTTCGCACACATAACCTCCTTCTGAGTTTGACATTTTCAAAGAATTGATTCATTCTACACTAGAACATTACTACTTTTGGCATATATTGATGATACAAAAAGATTTGCATTTAAATTCATATATCAGAATATATTATTGAAAAAGAAATACGGGAGAGATATAGGAAAATAATAATGAAACTTTTAATAAAATTTACCTTTCAGTAAAAATAAAAATTAGAAACAGAAGCAATGTTTTGAACTTTTGCTTGATTGAATCAACTTTTTATAAAGTTAAGTCACAAAAAGAACACATAAAACAAAATAATACCATAGGTGGTCTTCAATTATGTTGACAAATGTGAAGTTAAAGATACAAAAAATATCCTTAAAAAATTTCAATTATATGGATTATATGGATCTGAATTTTAAGAGCCTTGAACATAATCTAATATGTGACAACAATATAATGTAACATTATGATTTTAAAGACAAAGAAACTTAATTTGAAATTTTCGAGTATGAGAAAGTTTTTTCCATATATAGGCGATTAAATATAAATTTATCTATTATTCAATCAATTAAGATAATTTACCAAAATGGTTATAATTTTAAGTACTATTAATACTATGAAGTTATTTGATTTATGTATTCACTAGTGACCTATAGTTTTAGATCGTTTTTAAAAATAAAATATGTTGGGCTTTACCTCCTTTAGTTGAGGAAATGTAATTTTTTAGTTTTAGGAAATCATTCATAAACATTTAGCAACTCACCTTATATAGTTAAAAGAAAACCAGTTAGGTTAAAGATTTACTAATTACCATTTTATTGAAATTGATATTTTTGTGTCTCAGACAGTTCAGGGAATAAATAGATTTGTTTTTCAGTCTTGAGTCTCTTTTTTTTTTCAGTTTCAGTTTTAGTTTCAAGTTTGAGTCTTTTTCTTTCAGTTTTGAGTCTTCAAATCAGCTCAGATATCTGACCTTCTGGGAATATTAATGTTTAATAATGTTTACTAATTTAAAAAATTTTCTTTATAAAAATACAGTTTTAAGTAAATAAGGCATACTTGGCATGAGTAATTTCAGAAGACTTTCATGTAAATTGGACAATTTGGAAATAGAAAATATAATAAATTAAAAAATAAAACTAATAGCTAATAACCTCAGTTAGAGATGAAACATCCATCAGATTTAATTTCCAATCCCTTACTTTTGAATATACTTCAGTGTTTTTACACACAAAGGGTTGTAAATGGAAAGAATTCTGAAAATAAGCCAAGTGCCACCCCAAATCGTATTTACTTTTGGAATGAGGGTTTCCAATGAGGGCTTGCATGTGTAAAATATTGAAAATCAGGTCTAATTTTATTTTAAAATTCTTATTCATGCTTAAATCCTTTAGTTAAATTTTAATTTCTCGCTGGACAAATCAGTCAACACTGATAGTATTCTCATGGACTTTATATGTTCCTAAACATTCATAGACTACTGGTTCTGTGCTCATGATTGATTGACAACATGCTACTAAACTAAGGAATAAGCTATTATCAATATATATTATTATAATATGCAGTAAGAATAATGTTCATTTCCCAGAAAGGACAGCATTTCCAAAGTTAAGTATGGAATGGAAAACAGTATGTAAAATAATTCAATAATGTGGATTTACTTTGGTTTCTATCATAATCCATACAGGAAATCTACATATTGTACATAATGACCAATGAACACGTGAAGTATATAAACCTGCATGATCATTTTGATTACTTGGTTCATTACTCTATCACCGTTCTATGATATCACATTTGATATTTAGCATTTTGTTTCATCAGTTCTGACCATTATGCTAAATTAATCTTCACGTGTAAAGAAGAGTTGGCTCTTTTTCTCTTCCTTCATTTTCTGATCTTCTCTTTATTCATTTGGTCTCATATTAGTTAAGAACATTGTTTTAGATAAGCATAAGTAACTCAGTTGGTTTTATTTGCTGTTCAAACAGCAGCTGGAAGTTGCTCAGCAGAAGGCTGCTCTTAATCTCAGAATTCTGGAAAGGTCAAATTATCATGGAGTTGGAACATAAAGGTAGAAATAAGACAGTAGTAAACTGATTTACTGCTGAAACCCAGACTTTATCTTATCCCACTCCCCCAGACACACATAAACAAATCTCAGTATTCTACTACCTTAACCATGACACCATTAAGAATGCTAACTCTTATAGTAATAGGCTCTTGCCCTATGCTATTAATCCTTTATTTTTTCTACTTTACTGTCTGAATGTAATTGTTGGAGAGTGTATCATTTCCTAGCCATTCAGATCACTATATATTTTTGATAAGCATATTTTTTGTCCAAAATTCTATATGTAGTAAACTAAGAAACCAAAGAGAAATATTTCTATTCTTGCAGTTTATAGTGATGTGAGTAGGAGAAAAGATGTCGTGTTTAACTACTTGCTTTTTTAGTTTTCTCAGTTCTCACAGAGTGCAGGCATCTATTTCCATGGTTTCAGTTACCACCCATAAACTGTATTTTAGAGCTGCATCTCAAAACCTAGACTCTGCCTCCCCACACCCACAACCCCCTCTTCTCCCACGTCCCCCATGAGCTCGGGTCTCACACATCCACTTGACCTTTCTGGTAAATATCACAGATACAATATAAATACAGCACACACAAAACTGAGCTCATAATCTCCCTTCTCTCTTGCTCAATTTTCTTCTTCTCTATCTCAGAGAATAGCTCGCCATGCATTAGGTTGTGCAAGCCAGAAATCCAGGATCATATTTACCATAATTCTCTTTCCCCTGATTTTCAATATTCCACCAAGCCCTGTCACTTTTCCTTCAAAAATGTCCTCCCCTATGTCTGCCTCACATCTCTCCATATCCATTGTCCACACCTAATTTTAAAATACTGTCATCTTTCAACTCAACTTCTGCAACTGCCATCTGCATCCTCTTTCCTCATTGATTTTACCACCTGTAATCCTTCCTCCACACCAGAGTCAATGAAAATTTATAAGATAAAAATCTGAACATTTTCCCCATATCCTGGCTCTCCTTTTATTTTTCAAAGTATTTCCACCACTCTGACCACACTGTCTCCTGGTCAGTTAAGCCCTGAAAGAGCTGAACCTTGTCTGACATCCAGGCCCTTCACTCATCACAACCCCACCATTCTCCCCTGTCTTCCACAGGCAACATTCTTCTTTATCATTTTTCTCTGCCTTTGGGCCTCACAAAATTAATTCCTTTCCTTATTACATAGTGGTTCTCCTTCCCTCAATCCACACTTTTCTGTATTCATTCTTATTCATTACTGAGATGTCTTGAATAAAAGTTCTGTACCTTTCTTAAAAAAGTGTTCATTGATCCCCCAGGAAAAATCATTAAAAATTTTTAAAATTTATTTTATCCCCTTATTTTATGTTCTTAGAGTAAGTGTCCTCTGTCTTCAATTTCTTATTGTAGCCATATATTAATATCCATGTTTCCTTTTTTGTTTGTCTTTAACTACAATTGCCCAGTGGACAAGATGTTTCTGTTTTGCTTATTATTTTATCCCTATCATAGAGCATGTAGTTACTCAATAAATACCACTGAGTGAATATATATTTGTCATAATCATAATGAATGACATTGATTAAGAGCTTGCTGTCTTCCAGATATCAAGCTGAATATTTATATTGTGGAATTTAATATTCATAACAGCCCTAGGATACTGGTACAATTATGGATCCCTTTGTTAAAATGATTACATAATCATTTTATGATTATGAGAAAACTGAGATATAGACAAGTAATTAAGTTGCCCCAAACCACAGGATTGTAAGTAGTATAGCTAGATTTTTAATCCTTGCACTCTCACTCCTGACACCATATTCCAGGTGATTTTGCCAACTCTTCTTTACCTCTGCTTAAACAAACAGAACAGAAGAAGAAAGGCTCCAACCAAGATTATGCTGAAGCAGTTCTCTTGTTCCTCTGGTGGAAATTATGCTTGTGTCTGAATGTTTAAATAGATTCTTTAAAATGATAGTGATGGACATGCTTGAGAAAGCTCAGTCAAGGAGGACTTGGCCCAAGTTAAAAAACATTCAGTTATTTCCTGAATTATGGTTCATTCAGTGTATTTTACTTTTTAATTAAACAAAAGTATGAGGAAATAACCTAGATAGGGAAAAATTATTTAAATCTGTAATCCAAAAGAGAGCATTATGATAGAAACTCTCCTTC